CCTGATCCCCTGGGATCCCACCCCAAACCCTCCCCTGAAATTCCTGATCCCTTTGGGTTCTCCCTGGGTTTCCTTCTGGGATGTGGGGAGGGGTTTTATTGTCCCAAATCTTCTTCTTCCTCCTCTTCTTCCTCCTCTTCTTCCTCCTTTTTTTCCTCTTCTTCCTCTTCCTTCATTCTCCTTTTCCTCCTCCTTTCTTTCTTCTGCCTCTTCATCCTCTTCCTCTTCATCCTCTCCCTCCCTTCCTTTTCTCTCTTCCTCCCTCATTCCTCCTCTTCCTCCTCCTCTTCCTCCCTCCACTTCCTTCTTTATTGTCTTCCTCCTCCTCTTCCTCCTTTTCCTCCTTTCTCGTCCTCTCTCTTCTTCCCCTCCCCACCCCCCTCCTCTCTCATTAACCCCCGTGATTAATTGATTAATTAATTGACTGGTTAATTAACTGGCTAATGGACTTCTGAGTGGCCCTCCTGGGAGGATGAGGGGCTGAGGCCGAAGGCTGATCCCGTTTTTGCAGGGAGCTGGAGCTGCCACCTCTGCCTGGACCTGCTCAAGGAGAAGGCGTCGATTTACCAGAACCAGAACAGCTCCTGATCCTGCTCTTCCTCCCCATCCTCATCCTCACCCTCACCCCCTCGGCTTTGGGGCCTTTTATTTCCCCTTTTTTTTGGGTCCTTTGCCCTTTTTTTCCCTCTTTTTTGGGGATCCTTTTTCTTTTATTTCCCTTTTTTTTTTTAATTTTTTTTTTTTTAAATCCTCATTCCCTTTTCCTCTCTATTTCCCTTTTCTCCCTTCTTTTTTCCAACTTTTTCCATATTTTTATAAAACTCTTCCATTCCCTTCACTCCACCTCTTTTTTTCCTCCCTTTTCTCAATTTTGGCTCCTTTTTTGCCTCCTTTTTTTTCCAATTTTTTTCCCCTCCTGACATTTTTTGGGGTGACCCCCCCCCCCAGGGTGACATTTTTGGGGTGACTTTCATCCCTTCCTCCCCAATTCCCAGGATTTCACCCCAAAACTCACCCCCCTCCTCCTCCTGGCACCACAGGTGTCAAACTTTCCCTTTTCCCTCTTTTTTTCTTTTTTTTTTTTTTTTGGGAATTTTGGGGCGATTTTGGGGCTTTTTTTTTTTTTTTTTTTTCCCATTTTTACAGGGATTTTTCCCACTTTGATTTTTATTCCATTTTCCCTCATTTTTATTCCCCCCCCTCAGGATGCTCCCAGCCCCTCCCCCACCC